CCTCCGCATTTTATCATGTTAGGAAATTTATTTATTTATTTCAAATGGCAGGCATTTTGATAGTTATCATTAGCCCTTTAGTTGACTTCGGGTTTCACAGAAGGGAGGAACATTAAAGTGAGAAAAATTCGACAGGGGGAAAGAAGAGCGATTCACAGATGTAACAGACAGACAGACAGACACAAAGGCAGAGAAAAGGCTAGATGAGTACTGTGAGGGGATCGAATATGACATACAGTGGGGTTATGGAAGTTTGAAGTCTGAGGTCAACTGCCAGTTAATAGACTTTTTTGCCGTATGAGTATACGTTGCCCAGGGTGCACCATGTGGAGGTAAGTCTATCGCACACCCCTGTTAGGAAATTTTATAAAAATATAATTAAATTAAATTTTAAGGTAATTGACGATGCAAACCTATGACAATTATTTTCAATTGTAATGGCAGATATTTTATAAAATCAATTCTAGTGAACACAGCTTTAAAAGTCCTTTTAAAGTTAATTTTTTATATTTTATTTCTGTTATGCTAAAAATGTAACCCCTGCGTATTTGTCATTTCGTGATCAATGATACACACACACTTAAAAGAAAATAAAAAGACGAGATAAATCCTTTTTTAAATTTCTTTTCCAACTCTTAATGTGTGAGAGTTACACTTGACTCAAAGCCTAATCTGCTTCATCAAACCATCGTCATACGCTATTACTGTGTAGCCAATAAGACGGCTCAAGGCTTGCTGCACATGGATTGTCATGCTGTTTGACGCTTTAGAAATACCTCGAGCATTACTTCTCACCTCCCCAAGACACCTATTCAACAGTCGACTTTTCATTCATCCCAAACAAACTGGATCCTTCAGAAACAGAAGTCAAAGACGTTGGGGAGCAGTTGAGTGCATGGGAGACAGATGATGGCTCAACTAAACATAAGCATCGCAACCCCTGTCTCAAATTCTTAATAGACAACTGGTTCACCTTGTCAACCGTTGCTGGAGTTGGTCTGGGCTTTGGAGTTGCATTTATAATCAGAGCTACAAAGCCTGGACCGGTAGCCCTTACATGGATCTGTAAGTTGCCATTTTGGTTTTATCCAGTGTCAATAGCTATTTTAATCAACAGCTAATTTGAAACGTATCCCTTGCCATTTCAGCTATGCCGGCTGATATTTACTTGCGACTTCTGCAGCTTATGATTCTACCTCTAATTTCTTCCAGTATCCTTGTTGGTAAATTTCTTTTAAACTGCATTTCATGAATGTATATTTTTTTAAAAATAAAACCTTGGCAATGATGTTCCGCAACCCTCACAGCTATTGCATCGATGGACTTAAAGAAGGAGGGCAAAGTCGGACTGATTGGAATAACTTACATCATCCTCATCGATCTAATTTGCTCATGTCTTGGAGCTGCTTTCGCACTTATTATTCAACCAGGTATAGCTTTCATCTATCTTCTTATTAACAAGTTTACGTCAGAATTAAATTAGTTTGCCGACTTATCGGAGTCCATTTTGATATGCATCACACAAGTTTAGATTCATAGGCTAAAATTTGATTATTCTTATTTATTTATTTATTACATGTGAATTTTCCGAATAAACGGCTGGATTGATTTCCCTAGGTAGTCGGACTTTGATAGGTGGAGAAAACGTGAACCCGCCCATTTCAACCACATCTGGATTAACAGTATCGGATATTTTTAAGGATGTTTTATAGTAAGTACAGGTATAAAGATGTAACAATTAGTTTTAAAAAAAATTACTTAAAAGGTTAACATTCTAAAAATATTTCAGTAATATATTTCCAGACAACCTCTTTTCAATCACAATTTATCACGTACGTCAATAAAAGATTTATGTACATATAATTTAAATAACAATGCTATAGATCAATATTGCATCATTTTAAATTGATTTACTAAATTGTTTTATTTTAGTACCAAACAGAGCTTGATGCTGCTACCAATACGACGCAAGGAAATTCTTACAAAGGTGGTACAAATATGACTGGTGAGCAAATAAGCTTAACTCAATATCTACTTATTAAATTTAACTCACATTAGGCCATTTAATATTAACCCGTATGGCCAATCAATCTAGTGCCTTTCTAATTAATAGCAGGGATTCGACCTAAGAGAACTAGGAAAAAAAGTAAATAAATAAAAGTTGACAAGCTTTATTTTTTGCCCCCAATTTGGTTAACAAAAGGGGTAAATTCATTGCGATGGCCTGAAAAAACCGCGAAGTTCAGTTCACTTGTCTATTTGCTCTGAGCCGATGGAATAGAGTTAAAAATTTGGATTTTTGAACATTATACCGTGATGGCGATGGACAAATTAAAGTTCCTCTTGTATCCTGAAATCCAGTCCCAAGGTCTACGCCTTTCCTTTTCAATAAATAGTTAATTACTTCGATTCTCCCAGTCGGATGCTACGCCATGATTGAGAAATACAGCGGGCTTTGCTTTGACATGTTTTCTGATGATTAGGCTAGTTTTCATTAGGCCTAAAATCGATGAAATCTCCAGATTTTTTTTCTTAGATCAAGCTACCTTCATTCTAACTTGATGTAGCAATAGGCAACTTTTGATTCTGCCAACAAGCATTTCCCCTAAAGACGATATTTTGAAGGACAATTTTGATGAAAATCCTTTTCATTTGTGCACTTACAACTTAATAAAACAGTAAATAACCTGATATGAAAAAAAAACAATATTCTTTAGGCGTGCTATTCTGTTCAATCGTTTTCGGAGCAGCGGCAAGAGTCTCTGGAGACATTGCAATCGTTTTCGTCAATTTCTTCCGTGGGGTTACAATTATTGTCACTAGAATTATGTCAATTTCCTTACTGTAAGTGAGCACCACCTTCAATTCACCACCTCTCATTTGACTGTATAACTTAATTTAAAACTAATTTCTTCACACACACGGGCGCACACACAGAGTAACACCAGTAGCAGTGGTTTTCATGGTTGCGAGTTCAATTGCTGGACGCGAGGATATTGAATCCGAATTCGTGCAATTAGGTCTCTTTGTGGCCACCGTGCTAACCGCCCTCGCCATCCATTTCTTCATAATAATCATCGTTTACTTCCTTGCAAGTCGCAAAAACCCCCTGAGGCTGCTCAAATTCTCAACTCAAGCGTTCTTCCTTGCTTTCGCAACAACTAGTCCGTAAGATCATTTTCTTAAAGGAGGTCTGCATATGCCCTAGCACCGATAACTAGTTTTAACTTATACAATAGTGCTTTAGCTCTTCCTGAGGTCTACAGTGGGTTAGACAAATACGGAGTACGACAACAGGTCTCCAGGCTAATAGGGCCGCTGACTGCCACCTTGAAAGGCGATGCACCAGCGGCCTTTATTGCGGCATCTGCCGTATTTGTTGCGCAAAATGAACACTCGGATCTAAATATTGGTCAAATATTCACCATCATGTAAGCGTGCTATTATAAGCCCAATGCATTTTTAATATAACACGTGGCTGTGATTACTTGCACACTTCTTCTTCTTCTATTGCAGAGTTCTCACATTCATTGCCTCTTTGGCAGTGCCGAGTATTCCAAGTGCAAGTGTGGTGCTTGTGTTGACAGTGCTCTCAGCAATTGGTGTACCTACTGAGAGAGCAGCTTTACTCTTTGCCATGGAGTGGCTGTTGTGAGTTGTGGCATTTTGGCATTAATTTTAATATCAACCACGTGTCTCCTTTATTTATATTACCCATATTTCTATTCACATGTGTTAACAGATGAAATATGTATTCAGACAAATGAATGCCCAAATTTCACTGTTAAATGAGGCGATTCTTGCTACTAGTTTGTAGAATCGCCTTACAGTCAGAAGAATAAATATATTAATACTCCTGTGAGAGTGTCGTGCTGAAGGCATCCGTAATACCTTTTCCATGGAACAGGATCGAAGCCTAATGGGTTTGAGGAGGGGGGGGGGGGAGATTGGTCAATTGTCATCACTGGGGCCTATTTGAGGCAGGGTAGTCACCCCCAGAAGAATAGTAAAAATTATATATGAATTAATTTTGAACAAAAATCAGGAATGAATCGATAAAGTATAGAGAATGGGGATGACTTTTAGGGTTGAAGAACTTAATCAAGGATTTATTGTCAACTGATCCAGATAATTTTATGTACATTTATGTCCACTTCTAAATCAGGACAAGATTCCCGGCCTACTAAGAGGGATATTAGAAGCATATATTTATTTATTTCAAATGGCTAGCGTTTTGATAGCTATCATTAACCATTTAGCTGACTTCGGGCTTCACAGAGGGAAGGTTCATCAAAGTAGCAGAAAGACGATGGTGGGGGGGGGGGGGAACAGAAGAGCGATTCACAGATGTAAAAGAGGCAGACAGACACAAAGGTAGAGAAAAAGGTAAGATGAGTACTGTGGAAGGGGTCGAATATGACAAGCAGTCGGGCCATGGCAGTTTGAAGTCAAATGTCAACTGCCGGTTAATAGACTTTTTTGCCGTATGAGTATACGTTGCCCAGGGTGCACCGCGTGGAGATAAGTCTATCGCACACCCCATATTAGAAGCATACATTGTACGCACCCTTGAAGCATTCTAATGAGTAGCTTGAATATTACTGCCAATCTCTATGACCAGAATTAACCACCCCATTTGGTCGACTGCGCCCCTGATGTGAACGAGTGAGCATAGTTTCTAGGATTACTGATTTGGCAGGCGTGCAAGTTGGCCACCGACATCTTACATAAGTATTGAATGCATTTCGGTCTAGTTGGTGGAATAAAAATCGGTCAAAATTTGTGTGCTATTCCAAAAGTGCATTTTCTTGAATGCGTTTACTGAACAGCTGGCCAAAGAAATGTCGAACGGGAAATAAACACGATCGAAGTGGATTTTAAGCATCATCTCCTTTTCCACAGGCTTTATTTCGGATCATCATCTTTAATTTTCATACCTTACTGTATGTATACTATATGTATATATACTGTATAATATATATAATTTTTTGCCATATCATATGAATAGTGCCCATGAAGTAAATTTATTAAGAGCAAAAAGTAGCATGACCACGTGGACGTACATTTTTAAGGCGATCTAAACTCTCCTATAGGGGTGTGCGATAGAATTATCTCAACGCGGTGCACCCTGGGCAAAAAGGTCTATTAACCGGCAGTTGACTTCTGACTTCAAACCACCATCACTCCACTGTATATCATATTCCACCACTTCCACAGTACTCAACTCACCATTTTTCTATCTTTGTGTCTGTCTCTTTTACATCTTTGAAGCATTCTACTGCCCCCCCTCTCGACATTTTTTCACTTGATAACTAACAAATCGCCTGCCATTTAACATAAATACTCTCTTATCGTAGGTCTCCTTCATTATTTTGCAAAGAGGGGTTCAATCCTCTATTCGGAACTCGTATACCTTTACCTTATTGCGCCGAGTATTTAACTTGGAATATTAAATTTTAGAGATCGATGTCGTTCCGGTAGTGGTGCGTTGGCGATGATGTATATACCGGCAACATCAGAAGCAATTGCTGATAGCCTGGACAGGAAAAAGAAACTTGAGGAAAATTTTGATGGTGATGACATTTCACCCGTATAGTCATCAGTACAATGAAAAAATACTGTAATACATTAATTAAAATTATTAAGGCTCTATATATGTAATACGCACCAGATTGTATAGATAGAGGAAAAAACTCGATGAAACGATTCTAATCTTTACTCTTTTCAATTAAAACCGTGAAGATAACGTATAAATGCTCAAATAAATAAGACATTCCTGATTCTTTTTAAAATTTAATAATTATTTTAATAGGATAAAAATGTATATTTCGAATTTTGCTCATTATCATTTATTACCTATATAACAAACAATAATTAGAAAAAGAAAATTGATTAATTATCTAAACGTCAAGAAACGATTGTAAAAAAAAATAATGACCGTTTAAGTGGTTCTTCTTTTGATTATTACTAGTTGAATTCACATTAAAAGTACCTTAATAACGAAATTTAAATAAAAACGAACGAATAGCGTTGTATACATTCATATTATTGGTTCAAGAGATTTGGAGAAATGCTGACCGAGAAATCGAACTAACCAAATGAACACTATCACGCATAGCCCCAGGGCACGACTTGATTGGCTGGAAGCCAAGGCCAGTTTGATTTAACGATCGTTGCGCGTACGCTTAGTGCCAGTCAGTTAGTGGCAAGGCACCCTACTGCAAGCGCCCCATTTCAGGCGTCCCATCTTCAAAATGAAGTTTGGACACTTATTTGCAGAAATCGTTCTTCTGTTGGCTAATTGCATCCAAGTATGGACTGCGATTTGTCCAAGGGGTTATTGGTCAGCTCACGTAGAGTCCCTGTCCAGTGGGAAGAAGATAAATCGATTTACTAGTGAAAGAAATGCCAGTTTGCAATATATTCCCACAGGAAATGAACCGATTTGCCGCTTTTGTCCAAATATTAGTTGTTTTATCATGCGCCAAGTGTACGACAGAAAAGATACCGGATCTGAAGCCAGAAAGCCGAGAAAATTTCGTAATTCAACGAAAAACGTAGCAACTACACCAAAGCCCGTGGAACTTTTCACTCAACCAACATTTGTAACTTCTGCAAGTACATACGATGCTAATAAAGAGACCAACATCACAATGTCCTGCTCCCCTTTATCGGATCTACCATTTCCTGACCAAATTATCACTTACCTAGACTGTGTTCAGATTGGTCAGAAAGATCATTACTATCTTTACATTTATACTCCGGTTAATAAGGAGAATATAGTTGAACCCGTGGATTGCATTGATCCTAACTTTCTTAATTGGATCCCTAAACGCGAGAGGATTAAAAGCCTTGAATTAGGCTTTCCCATGAGGCGGTTGCCACCCTATTTCTTCCGTTATTATCCGGATATTATGGAGGTGAGTCAGTGGAGCTGTGATAACATATCTTTAGAAAACCGAGCATGTTTGCATCGATTCGTCATCCATGCTCAACAATGAAATTGATCCAAGTGATATGCAGCGTTTTGATGGGAAGGTCTTAACTCAAGTCGTGTTTCGTCACCAAGGTTTAAAGAGAAACATTTTGCCCCCTAAAGAACCACCAAATACAGCAAGTACAGGATGCACTAGTGAAGAGATTGTAGCTGAATGTCCTCGACTGGCAGCCAATGGAATGGGCAGAACATTCCCTGATAAGGATTGCCGATATGCTGCATCGGTAAGCGCTTGTTTTGACTAACTACTTGCCAAATTGGTTAAAGGGGTGAAATTAGACTATGATACTCCCTATAGGAACTGCCAATAAATAATACCACAGTGAGTAAGGAGGATATAGAGAAGTCCTGTCCATGCGTTCAGTGTTTCTACCAAAAACCTGAGGTTCAAATGAGCAAAGCGGAGAGAAATAAGCGTCCGGTGCCCAAATATGTAAAGACTCTCCTCAACATGGCCCTTCTCGCGCTTGTATTACTTCTAATCTTCGGTACAGTGCTAGGATTTTGTATCAATAATAAGGATAAAGCGATGATACTCTTTCTCACACGTACGCGTAAACGAAAACGAGAGAGGGAGGAGGCCTTGGCAAGAGAAGCTGCAGAGCGCGCTGCGAAGGAAGCGGAGGAGCAGAATTTGGTCAACTGGAATCCTTTCCTCAATCGATATGGCATGATAGCTGGAGGTGGAGCAATGGGTGGGTTCGGACCCTTTTCATCACGTCTACCAATGGGAGACGCAGATGGTGCTGCTGGTGGGCAATTTGGTGGTGCACAACATTTAAATGCAGTCAATCAAGAGTCGGCGAAGGGCAATTCACGTAAACGACGTTGACCATTTTTTGATGATGGCTATCGGCTGTCAGAAGCTATTTATTATCCCAGTAAATATATATTTACTACCAGCTTAGTAACTGATTTCGCTTAGTGAAATTTTAACTTAAGTAACTAATTTAAAGTATCTTTTGGTAAAATTTTTTAGTGTTTAGCCAAGTTCAATTCATTATTCACTTATTTATTGCTTAACCAATAATGCAAAACGTGGGAGTTGACATTTATAAATCGAATGCGCCCAACTTAGAATCTATCTATGGAAAATCTTCGCAGAAAACTCTAATCTTTGCACGACATTTTAAAACAACTTTAACGTATTTTTAATCATTTATTTATTTATATCAAGTGGAAGGCGGTTTGATGGTTATCATTTGCCCTTTAGTTGACTTCAGGTTTTACAGAGGGGAAGGAACATCAAAGTGAGAAGAGTGAAGAGGGGGAACAGAAGAGTGATTCAAAGATGTAAAAGAGGCAGATAGATACAAAGGCGGAGTAAAGGGTAAGACGAGTACTGTGAAAGTGGTCGAATATGACATACAGTGGGGTCATGGTAGTTTGAAGTTAGAAGTCAACTGCCAGTTAATAGACCTTTTTACCGTGTGAGAATACGTTGCTCGGGTTGCATTAAGTGGAGGTAAGTCTATCGTACATCCCGTGTGAAGAATAATATTGAGTGATCATTGTTGTTTTGTAACGCTGGAATCATCCGACTATCCGCATTTTACCTAATGGAATTGGTTCACAACATCGTGTTTTAGTGTTTTGAGGATTAAATTTTTGAAGTTGTTCACCAAAGATGCTTAAAAGAGGTTATGTTGGTATTGTATGGAGGGCTTATGGAAGTCTCAATTCAACTTAGTGACCGATCAAGCCATCATGATGCATTCACCCCTTGTAATAGCCAAACAAAGTTAGCTAATACCAACTGCTCTACGTTTATCACAAGTTTTTGAATAAATGCCTCTTTAAGCTCTCTCTTTGTACTTTGTAATATTGATCGCCTTTTATTGCAAATGACTGTGATCATTCAGAAATTCTCAGAGACGTTTGCATTTGCGTTCGAACTACTTAATGCTAATTTACTAATGAGATTCATTCAAATATATTTATTTTTTCAATGTTAAGCTCCAATAGCTACGCAATGAAGATCGTTTGCAGGGTAACTAGGAATCTGCTATTCAGACACAAATTTCTTCCAATATATGCATAATCGATTTTTTAAGAATTTCAACACTTTTCTTTCTCGCTAAGTCAACAAGAGAATGGCTAAAACACAATTTGTAAAGAAGAAAGTTATCCTGAATCGCATCTTTTAACAATCGCCTTACTTGTTAACCATTTTGATGAACATATTAAGCTCCTATTGCGGCTACTCACATCACTGAATGAGCACCAACAAGCATAAATTTCGGAATCTCTTAAGTGTTAGTTCCTCAACGCACACTGATTGGATTAGAATTTAAATTCCAAAATTTTATGGTAGAATAATGTGAAATTAAATTAGAACATCCTATATATCCATTTTAATTGCAAATACCACACGAATCTAGGTATGATGAAATATTTCATCATAAATCAGCAACCGGTGCACATTTTGCTAATCTTGAAGATAATATTTTAAAAAAATCAACTGAACGCCATTAAAATAGAGGTGTCTGCCTGATCCCTTAACTGGGAATATTTATATGGAGAGTAGATTGAGATGAATTTATAACTCCTGGAATAAAACTTGAAAGAAATCCTAGGGGAATTGAGTGTCGCTAAAATGGTCTTTGAAAATATGAGACGAAAATTGCCAAATTCAGGTGAGAGATCATCAAGAGTTTCAACAACATCCATGCACTGTAGTTTTGAAATACTGAATAGGTTAATGATATGGTGGGAGCTTGGCCACTTGTTGTCAAACAGAAAATCTTTGGACAACTACATAGAAATCCTTTTCAGTTCAAGGCTGGTATGCAAACTTCGGAGCAATTAAATCGACTAATATTCGGGTTATCAATGCGGAAGTGGTGTAAAAGAGCTCTCTGGGGGTACTGAAGGAATGACGACACGATCTGAAAACATTGAGGATAAGTTATTTATTGGCGGATCGTCAGGCCGTCAAAACAGTTTGCTGCGATCGCACTTATGGTCTGGTTTTGGTTGTCCTATATGAATATTTCGTGAGCTCCATCAGAGCTAGATCTTTTGCTATTCCATTTTGTATGTGACTAGCATTTCTTGAAAATAATAAGCGTTTCGTATGGTTTTCCATGATCAGACTTACAATGACAGTCCTCCGGTTAGGTCATCTTTGCTTGTGGATGAGACGGAAAAGACGTTTGCCCAACTTTTGTTGTGTTTCGATATTCTATCTCGAAAGTATGGGTAAGAAGGAAGCTCGACTAACGCTGTAGACGGCTTGTAATGGATACTTGAATACATCATTTGGGTCTCAAGATTCGAATGAATAGTTTAGGATGATTTTGCAGCGTAGACTACAGTAGAGCTGTTTAGTTCAAGTTTTAATGACAAAATTGTTGTAGAACGTTTTTCCTACCTGGCTATAATTTATCTCAGCTGCAAACTATGAACAATAAATTTTAATGAGCTATCAAGAATGAGAGGAGAAATGACCTCACAAACGTCATAACTCGAAACGCCAGTAATGATAATGATTGGTAGAATCGGTTCAACGAATCAGAAGTGGGCATATCCAGTAGCTTAATGGAAACATGCACACATTTTGAGTGCAATTGTATTTAGTTATTTTTCATGGATACCCATTTACTAAGTTCGAATAATACGCAATGGAGACAGAGATGGGTCGCGACAGCTAGTGAGATCCAGGAATTTCAAAAATGCGTTAAATGTAGCAGGATGTTGCGTTTCATTTAGTGATCATTTTCATCAATGATGCCAAAAGTATTTAATTAAGGGCACAATGACTGTGCATTTCTCAGTTTCAGAAGGGGAAATGTGATTCCATATACGCTAAAGTAGAGCGATGACACACTTTGTTGGAGTTCCTGCTAAGAGTGTCCGACAAAATGCCTGTCGTCCAGGTTCGAAGATGTAGTGAACATGTAGGAAAATAGCAGGTTCTGTCTTGCAAAGTTGGGTGTTAATTGTCAATTGCTCTATTGATACCTGTGTAGCTGCGATTAACAATCATGCCACTTCTGAACTAAACTTCTCAAAGCGTTCACAACCATTCTAGACAATGTCACTAGGAACTGGCCATGATCGACAAATTGGTATCAATGTTGTATTTAGACTGGTAATAGAGTCGGTACACAGCCACATAGTCAAATTTTCTTTTTGGAAAAATTAATAGATGATTTTTTTTTGAATTAGAAACAGGTCTTGGAAAGCTTCTTTCTGCATACACTTTAGCTCTTCTTTCATCTATGAGGAGGTTGCTTGTGGGCGGAACAAATTAAGGAGGAAAAATGACGGGGTGATCGGAATCAGTTTCAACATCGCCTTAGTATGAGCACATTGACCATGGCCTAGTTAAAATTCTTCAAAGGAAACCGACCCAACATCTCTACTTTAGCTTAAATGACAGGTGGAATTTATGGGAAGATCCGAAAGGCCAAGTTGATGGAACCACATTAGTCTGGTACTTAAACTGTTGGTGAGATACAAAATGTAACTGTTGGACACGGTACAGCTTAATTTCCCCACTGGTTTCAAAGGCCTGTTAAAATCGCTGATTGGAGGTAATAGGATTAGTCTAAATTTTGGGAAAACTAGTGGTTCCTAGAGCCTCACTGTGACCATGCTTATATCTAGAAAGATGAATAGTTGTAGGCGAGCATTATTACCATCAATCTGTTGATTTGCGTATTTTCGGGTTTGATTAGTAGTGATATTGATGGTAGCCATGATATCATTCGGTCTGAGGTATCGGAATGAAGGTCAAATATCACTGATTCTTTTTATAGAAATCTGAATGATTTTTTTTCCCGATCGTATTGTTCATGGACGAATAAGAAGTTCTGGGGAGGGGGGAGGTTGATTATCTGTGGGTATTAGCTTTCTTTATATAAAATGAGAGTTTCTGCTTGACAAAAGGATTCGGCTGTGCCACCGATCCTACGAGTTGAGACATAGTTGCAGATATCTGGTGCACCGCAAGCGAGGGGCCTGACGCCATAATCACATGGGCACTTCGCCATCTTAACATCTTTTTCGACCACTTTCTGTAGACTTGGATTAGATTCTTCCTGTACTCATCTTACCAGATTGGTTCCTAGTGGTAACGGAGGCTTTGACTGAATCTCAGAAAGAAAAATACCCATCTGAACTGCTCTTCTATTATTTCTCGACGATAAATTTATTTTGTAGAAAGTCTAAACAAATGCAAAGCCATCCAGGCTTTCTTTATGGTTGATCCCGAGTTTGAGGTTGTTTAAGAGGACATTGAGAAGAGTTATGATCTAAGTCTCCTTTCTTGGTCACAATAGTTTCAGAGTTACTGTATTCATCGAACTCTTCGGTGGAATGTGTATTAAGAACCGTTAATATTTGAAAAGATTTGGCTTCCTGATGAGATAACGAACTCGTGATTTCCAGTCTCATTAGGCAAAGTCGACACTTAACATATATTTGCGCTTACTATACCAAGATTCAAAAAGTTGCTTGATTTAAGATTATGAATGATCTCAAGAACATTTTACAGTAGCTACAGAAACCGATATTTCAACAGATGCAGAAGGTTTAGCAGAATAATTTGAAGGAACAGAGGACATTAACTAAAAAGCCGCATCCAATTGTTTAGAACATACAAATTTAACTCCAACACCTGAAGAGAATCCGTTGAATATCTAACAAGTAAATATAATTATTGCTGCGCTTTAATTCTAACAAACTTATTAACTTCCTATCAAAGTTTCACCTATTTAGTCAAAATTCCATCACCCAGCAACGCACATTTAAAGCACATTTATGGAATTATTTAAAATTTTTTGAAGAATTAATAAAAGCACAAAATTTGCTTATAGTATGTTTAGC